AACCGCTGTCGACAAAGGTCATCCCGTCAGTGGAGTACCGCAGTTACACAGCATGTTTGCCAATGCACAATTCTGTGTAGAAACTATTAACTTCAACATAAACTGTGTATCATAGTCGTCCAGTTCAAGTTCTGGTTCTGGTTCTGGCTCTGTCGTGGTTCCAACTAAATGTCCACGAGTTATTCATTCGGACAATGATTCAGACTAGACATCTGATTATTTTATTTTCACACTATCTTGGAACATATTAATGGGCAATGAGGTTCCTCGATCTAAATTCCATCCCGGTTTGTTGCACGTTCATTCTTTAATATGGAATAATCAAATGTGGAACATATGTAATAATAACAGAACCCCACATACAAGTCAATGCTAAAAGTTAAAATTAGTAAAACAATAACAACTTGAAAGATAATACATGCACAGTTAGGTACTTTTTATAATTGTTAAGATAAATGTTCATATTAAAATAAATATAATAAAATTTGTCAAATAAACATTAAACATATTTTTCTGGATCTTCAAAACTGAATTTCGCACAAACTGCCTTAAACCTAAGATGTTCACATGTTTGTCTTTATATTTCAAGAAACATCACAAATTTACTCTTGATTCAATTGTGGGATATTTGACACATCAATCTGAATAAATAAAACTGTTCCTTCAGCATAAATTGTTTTCCCATCAGGACTTGTTAGTTTGCAGCTAATAAATGACTTCCTTCCTTCAGTCTTATCAACATGTGCTTCAGTGAGTATTGTCTCACATAATGGTGTTGGTCTGAAAGGTGGAAAAACAAAACAGCTTAAGATTCACTATAGCTGAGATAGGTACTTACCCGCAACCACTACAACCACGCAACCACTGAAGCAGTACAGCTTCAATGTGATTAAAATCCAATACATGTATAGGCTATATCAGACCAGCAGGATATATGCTGATTGGTCAAGCAGCTCTCTGGGCTTCTAAAGGTATTTTTTTAACCAATGAGAGTGCTTTATACAGACTGTTTCACAAGTTCTGATTGGTTTCATAAAACCATAAAAAAATTTACAAAAACACAATTGCTCAGATGTAGTTAGAAATGATTCTGTGTATTCTGGCAGCTGTTTATTAGAAGGAATCTCTACGTACCCGGATTTTAATCGGATGGGACTGCATGTGCTAAACTTAGGTATTATGATTGGCAAAATTGCATGATACTGTTTTTGTGGAACTTACAGTAATACAATACATGGAGAATTATACAAAACATAGCACAGCTATAATAGCCTTGCCCAACATGCATTTCTTAGAAATAACTGCATGAACACATCCCTAGTCAAGAGATGGTTTATATATATCTGACATATAATATTTGCTTAGTTTCAACAATCAGAACCAGTCAAAGCATCAAGTCTTAGAAAATGATGCCGACTGTAGGACAGAAATGATTTTCTCTAGCTAGAAAGTTTTTGCTGCATGTTTTTATTTATTAAATCAACATGACCAGTGTAATCACATTGTAAACGTCAGACTGACAATAGAAAGTAATCAATAAGACTGTGCTAAACGATGACGAATTGTGTGATTTTTCAATTCATGTAAATTTTCAAGTTGAAAATTGAAACTAAAAAGAATATTACTAATCTCTCACAGTCCTTATTGAAATTATGCTTTATTCATAAGCCACTGTGACAATCTGATATCATTTCTTAAGTACAATTTTTCAGTTATGCGAATATTGATTGATATTACCTTCTATAATTAATATTCATATTGGCAGTAACTCTTGGTACACGGGAAACGTAGTGACATAATACACCAGATGCTGCATCAATAATACTTGCTACTGCACCACCATGTGCATGACTGGAAAAAATATAGGACATCTCCATTCAGCCAGGGTTTGTGATGTCAATTAAAATGTATGCGGTCGATCGTCATATTACAATAATATGAAGGTTATAGTCATAGTCTCAAAAATATAAACTAACTACATGTATTTCACATTCAGTGTCACTTTAAAGCTACTCTGTCATAGTAATTATGCATGTGCGTATAACAAGCTCACAACAATAGTTCACATAGCAACTAATTGATAGAGAACTGTTAAAAACCTTGTGTGTAACCAAATTATATGTCAATCAAACTTGGTCATTTTGTTTTGCATTTGAATGAACAGAATGTAATATGTAGTGAGTTTGGTGGGGTGTAGTTAGAAGAGGGTGACAGTGCTGAGATAGTAAGATGAAAGCCCTAATTTTTCATGCATTGAATTTCACTGTTAATTTCAACTCACCTAGGTGGTCCCTCTGTCCGTGATCCAAACTGACATACTCCTCGCAGCATACTCTCTTCTTTATTGCAAAAAAATGCGTATTCAAAAAATTTGCCCGGATGTCCAACACTGACTGATCTTGTAAAAAGTGCTTTACTGTATTTGCCATGAACAAAGCTTTTCATTTTCTTCCACTCTCCAGATTTGGTGAGTTCATTTAATTTATTAAACCATAGTTTGCTTTCATCTGACCACCCTTCATTTGGAACAGCCATATCCACCATGTACATATCCATTTCCTCAGTTTTTTGCACCTTCTGTAGAGTTACAAAAATATTGAATTGTGACTCAAATTTAGAATACTAACTATGCAACAATTGTAGACTGTGGTTTTCTTGTATAAGCTACAATCACGTTTGTTATGATTGCTGAATTTAGGCCTAAAAAACAAATGTTGCCAGTCTTTTTTTCACAGCACTGAAGTGATGAAATCTGCTGAATTTTTGAACAATTGAATGCTAAGCAATATAGTTTGACAAAAAATTTCATGAACAAATAAGGCAGTTGACCATTTAAGTAGTTATTCAAACCATGTGCTCCATTTAATAATCAGCTCGTACACACATTTTAGGTAGTGTAAAATGATTTTCACTGGGTTTAAATTTTGCTGATTTAGCATTTTAGGCATATTCAGTGGGTTTTAAATTCATGGTTTTATCATTTAGATAATGTGTTCTATGCTAAATTTTACATATTCACTGGGTTTTAATTCGGCTCATTTTTCCAGTCAGCAATATAAGCAAAATTAAAACCCAGTGAATAATTAACCCTTATACAGTAAAATACTAAGCACATAGTAATACATTACAGGCTTTAGGGGGTTTAAATGCAAAATCAAATTGGTTGCTTATAGCAAGGCATTTGTTTGATTGCTAATTTACAATGTGGATAATAAAGAAAGTCATGCATGTTTTGAATTCCAATATAACTATTTATAAACAAGGTCGTAAACTGTAACAAGCAGCCTATTGGCTGAGATAGCTCCGCTGTTAGCAATGCACATTTCGATTAAAGAACTGAAGACATCATTAGAAAATGAACAATATGTATAGTATCAAAGCAATCGGACTTACAGTTTTTTACAAGAAGTCGAAAATATCACTTTCTAACAAAAATGACTAAAATATTCACCAAAATTAGAGAATTGAAGATATCATCACGAAATGAACAAATCTGAGAAAGGTCTACATGTAGTATCTATATATGTAATATCAAAGCAATTGAACTTTTGGTTTTTAACAAGAAGTCGAAAATATCACTTTTTACCAAAAATTACAAAAATATTCACCAAAATTAGAGAATTGAAGATATCATCACAAAATGAACAAATCTGAGAAAGATCCACATGTAGTACCTATATATGTAATATCAAAGCAATCGGACTATTTGG